TAATGAATACAAGTGTCATAGGTACAGCTTTAGGAATATAGTGGTTCTGCACCCCCATATCCGCCCTCCCACCCGCACTCCTGTCCCACCTCCTGCTCCCTCTCCCATCCCATTCTTCATTAAGATTTGTTTTTAATTAACTTTATACAGAAGACCAACTCTATCCTAAGTAAAGATTTCAACAATTTGCATCCACAGATGCACTGTTTGAGAACAAGTTTTACAGTTAATTCTCATAGTTCAACTCATTAAAGACAGAGGTCCGACACAGGGAGTAAGTGCACAGTGACTCCTGTTGTTGATTTAACAATTGACACTCTTGTTTATAACATCAGTGATCACGCGAGGCTCTTGTAAAAGAGCTACCAAGACTATGGAAGCCTTTTGAGTTCACAAACTCTGTTAGTATTTAAGGCCATAATCAAAGTGGAAGTTCTCTCCTCCCTTCAGAGAAAAGTACCTGCTTCTTTGACGGCCCCTTCTTTCCAGTGGGGTCTCACTCACACAGATCCTTCATGTAGGACATTTTTTGCCACAGTGTCTTGGCTTTCCATACTGGAAATGCTCTCATGGGCTTATCAGCCAGACCAGGAAGCCTTAAGGGCTGTTTCTGGGAACAGAGTGCTCTTAAGGGCATTTGTCATTCTGTGAGTCTGCTGTGCGTCCTGCTTCCCATGTTGAAACTTTCTCTCCTTTTTAATTCTATCTATTGTTATTACCAGACACGTGGTCTACCATTGACACTTAATCCTATGCATATGATCAATTGCACACTTAGTATGATCACTTTAACACATAAGATGGCATTAGTACCCCCCAGCTTAATGGGATTTGAAGTCCCATGGCAAGTTTTTAACTTTACCCCTGGGGTAAGTCTGTGGGAACGTGTACAGTACAGCTCCTTCCTCTCTTCTTCCCACTCTTATTTTTTACTGGGATCTATTTTAATTGACTCAATGCACCTATGATTAATTCTATGTTAAGTAAAGTATTAAGCCAATGGTATTAAGTAGAAAAATAAAAAAAAATAATAAACTGTTCCTCGACAGTCAAGACAAGGGCTGATCAAGTCATTGCTTCTCATAGTGTCAGTTTCACTTCTACAGGTTTCCTTTCAGGTGCTCTATTAGTTATCCCAGATCAGGGAGAACTATGGTATTTGTCTCTTTGGGACTGGATTGTTTCATTAAGTATGATGCTTTCCAGATTCATCCATTTTGTTGCAAATGACTGGATTTCATGGTTTTATTTTTTTCTTTTTTACTGCTGTCAACATACACATTTTAAGGTTACATAATTCCTCCCCAAGCAGAGCAAACCACTTATTTCTATTTTCTTATCCCAATTTAACCAGTTACTAATGGTGTGACTTTGGGCTGGTCGTATATAACCACCTTTTCTCCTTTGTAAAATGGGCATGATAAATAGTGCTTGTTTCATAGGGCTGTCCGTGGACTTACATAAATCAATATATGAAACAAATAAATCAATATAAGAAAGCCCTCAAAAGTAAGTACATTTGGGGTAGGCCTTTGGTGCAGGCACCCACATCCCTCTCCCGATTCTGTCTTCCAGCTAATGCTCACCCTGGAAGACAGCAGACAATGGCTCGAGGAGTTGTGTCCAGGCCACACTCCTAGGAGACAGATTTAATTCCAAGTCTCCCGGTGTCTGCCTGGTCTCACCCCCGCTGTTGCAGGCAGCCGAGGAGTGAACCAGTGGATGAGGCACCACCATCTGTCTCTCCACCTTTCAAATACATAGAAAAGGTTTTAAAAATGCCCCCAAAAGTACAGTTAAAGTGCTGATGGAAATAAAGTAGTAAGAGTATAAAATAAGAGTAGGAAGTTGATATTAATTTTTATAAAAAGAAGACTCAAGGACATTTTTTCAAATTGCATTAAAATATCTAAACTAGACACAATTTTAGATGCAGTGAGAGCTGGAGGTTTGGCAGCTATAGTTGAGAAAATCACACGGAGAGAAGCACCAGGAAGCAGAGACGGAAAATACGAAAGGAGATAACACCCCCGGGGCGATTTGTTACAGCGGTTAAGATGTCACCTGCTAAGCCTGCGGCCCTTGTCCGAGTTCCTGGTCCAGGAGCGTGCACTGCGGCAGGCAGCAGGTCCCTGCCACCCACACGGGAGACCTGGACTGGGCTCCCTGTAGGGGTTGGCTGTGTGGCCATTTGGGGAGTGAACCAGTAGATGGGAGTTTCTTCTATCTCTGCTTCTCAAATAAATAAATAAAAATTTAAAACCTTTTAGGATCTCACAGCGTTATTTGGAAAATAATGCCTTTTAAACTAATAATGAAATTCATGTCACTGGGAGAGTTGAAGGGAGATAGGTCAGCGTGATTTGTAACCACTCTGGTTAATATTAATTGACAGTGTTCACTCAGGTTACAGTCAATAGATATTTACTAACTAGCTATGTCATTTGAGCTATCGTGCTAGGTTTGGGGGTGTAGCAATGCACACTGAGTGGGGTTTTGATCTTTAAGCTAGATGCTCGAGTGCATAATATACTCAAGTTTACAAACGTGGGACCCACCTTGAGTGCTACCCTTTGTAACTCACCGTCCTCGCGTTTTCTCAGGCGTTATCGGGTCTCTAAAGCACGGGTTGGATTCACGGGCTGGTGCCCCACCTGCTCGGCTTCTCTGGTCCCCTACACTTCACCCACTGTGAGAACAACCCCACGGTGGCTCCACCAATCAGCAGGCAGGAAAACAAGGGGCTCTCCTGCCCATCCGTGGGGTGAGGGTCGGAGGTGGGAGCTCTTTGGGGGTGCTTCACGTGGGCTGGCCTTTGGGTGGAGGTCAGAGCTGGTGCAAGGGCTGCACAAGAGCAGGAATGAGAGCACGGGACATTCCACCTGGGACAGCCCTCTGACCTGGGGCCCTCCTGGAGAGCTGACTCAGCACAGAGGAGCTGGCTGTGCCCTTGGCTCTGGGCCACGGGAGCTTCCGAGAGCTGAGCAGTCCACAGAAGGCAGCATGGACTGACCTTGACTGTGAGAGGAGAGGGCCTCCCGTGCCTCGCGGCTCCAGGCCACGGCAGCAAGGGTGCTTTGGGATGAACTTGACCGCGTTTTGATCTCCAGCTCCTGCAGCCACGTCCCTGCTGTCTGGAGGCAGAGCGGGTGAGGCGCTTCCTGTTTCTGCCGGTGGATGACTGGTCCTCCAGGGAGTGGCCTGGAGCCTTGGACACAGTTATGGAGGGCACAGCAGGAAAGGGTTTGCTGTCAGACGCTGCACCTACTGGTCCCTACCGTGGGCCAGCGCTAGAGTAAAGATTCAGACGGTGGGGGCGGGGGCGAGGCAGGTGTTTGGCACAGAGGTTGAGATGTTTCTTGGGTAACATCAGCTGCATCCCACATCAGATGCCTGAATTCAGGCCCTCTTTTCTCCTGATCAAAGCGTCCTGGGAGGCAGGCTTCAGTAGTTGGGTCCTTGCCACCCACATGGGAGACCCAGAAGGATTTCAGTCTCTGGCTTTGGCCTGGCCCAGCCTTGACTGTTGCAGGCGTTTGGGGAGTGCACCCCTGGGTGGGACATTCTCTGTCTCTTCCTTTTGCATAAATGAAAACTTTAGTGAAGAGATTTAGATGGGTAATCTGAACGTAGTTCTCACATTGACCCTGCTGGGAAGGTGTCACTCTTCCTTCAGCAATGAGCATTGATTAGGCACCGACAGTATGCCAGAAACTACCTCAGGCTCTGGGCTATGGAAGCACACACAGCACCCACGGGCTCTGCTCTCATGCAGCTGCCAAACTAGACAGCTCTTTAAGGGACACTGATATCTGTTTGGAAGTGGCCCTTGCTTTGGGAATACGTAGGGGTGCATTAGAAGGGAAGGAAATTTGAAAAAAAATTATTTATGTATTTGAAAGTCAGAGTTAGAGAGAGCGGGAGAGAAAGACAGATCTCCCATCCACTGGTTTACTCCCCCACATGGCCACAGCGGCCAGGGCTGGGTCAGGCTGAAGCCAGGAGCTTCATCCGGGTTTCCCACATGCGTGGCGGAGGTTAAGACAGTTGGGTCATCTTCCACTGGTTTTCCGAGGCCATTAGCAGCGGCCAGACTTGAACTGGCGCCCGTGGAGGATGCCGGCACTGCAGGCGGGAGCTTTACCTACTGGGCTACACCAGCCCCGGGAGGGAGGGACAGTTCTACGGGCAAAGAGGAGGATTGCGTGCGTTCATCTGGGATGGCAACCCTGGCTGCAAGGGTTACCAGCGGAAGCAGGGTCTGTCCGGGGTTGGCCTTGCAGAAGGCTCAGCTGGTGTCTGTGCCCCTGTGGGCCTGGCAGGCTCCGTGTGATGAGCTTGTCTTGGAGCAGGTGTGTGTGAGATCCGCCCTTCCTGTCTTCATTATTATCATCTCGTTAGCAGAAGCGGCTCCACTTTGATTCTGACAATTTTCACATCGTCCCTGCATGGGCCTGCTCACCCAGGCAGCTCACGGCGGAGACAAAACAGCCCAGCCCTTGACCGGGCCCAGCTGTGCTCTGTCCTGGGCCCCCCAGACCCTCCAGGCCCTGGCTAGCCTGTGCTCGTTGGGCCCAGCCCCTGCCCTGCCCTGGGTCCCCCAGACCCTCCAGGCCTGGCTAGCCTGTGCTCACTGGGCCCAGCCCCTGCCCTGCCCTGGGTCCCCCAGACCCTCCAGGCCTGGCTAGCTTGTGCACACTAGGCCCAGCTGTGCTCTGCCCTGGGTCCCCCAGACCCTCCAGGCCTGGCTAGCCTGTGCACGCTGGGCACGGGTTCTGCTCGCTGCATCGTTTTGTCACAGGTAAGCTGCACTCAGGCTCTGATTCAGGCATGACTGGGCCAGCGGCTGGACCAGCTTCTTCCTGACTAAGGACAGGCAGTGTCCTAATTGGGCCTGGGGCTGGCCTGCATGGGGACATGGTGCCTGGGGCGTGTTTGGTCAGCTGAGTGGGCGGCAGGTCCCGAGGACTCCCTAGGGTGTATATAGGCATGAATCGACCAGGGGGCGCCCAGACTCCAGGGGAAGTGGGGAACGCAGGCGTCACTTAGGACCTCTTGGAGAAGGCTCCTTTGCCTCTGCTCACCAGGCCCGGCTTCCTGCCCACGCCCCTGCCCTCGCCTGCGAGCGCTCGCCTACGTTGTTCCTCTGTTGACACAAACAAGACTTCTGGCTACCAGGTAATTTTGAAGTGAGCGAGCCGTGTTTGGGGAACCTCAGACAATGGCGATTTTAAAGAGCCCGCCGGCTCCTGGGACGCCACAGTGGCAGCCCGGGTGCTTGGATGTGCACGGGGCGCGTTGGAGGGGGAAGGTGAGGAGCAGGCTTCTCTCAGGCTCAGGAGACCCCATCCTGTCCCCAGGCTCCTGCTGGTCTGCACAAAGGACACTCAGCCTCCCCGACCCAGCCAGGGGTCGAGCCGTTCCTCCCAGCTTGGGACAGAAATCACAGCTGGGCCCTGGCTGAGCGCTGGGTTTTTCCTGCGGAATGAGGCTGACCCCACCTTGGGCCGTGCTGGGGCTGCTGATGCCTGCTGGGTGCAGGCCACCTCCCACCCCAAACTGAGCACAAGCACACAGACTGTGGGAGTGGGAAAAGCTGCAAGTGCCAATCCCGGCTACCGTGCCATCCTGGAAGGCAGGGGCCGGGGACGATGGGTTTATCCGTCTCCCAGCATACCACGGTGCTGACCACGGTGCCGCACACATGTCTGTGGGTTGCTGGAGCATCTCCCCGAAGCGGGTGAGCAGTGAATGCTGGTGGGGAGGGAGAGGGAAGAAGAGGGAGAGGGAGAGGGAAGAAGAGGGAGAGGGAGAGGGAGAGGGACCGGACAGAATCCCTTCACCGCGCGTCTTTGCAGGGGAACATTGGAGAGCTCGTGGGCCCTGGTGGCCCAGCTGTGGGTCTCACAGCAGGAGAGCCTGGTGGTTGGGAGCGAGGCCTCTGGAATCTGGCAGATCCAGCCTGAGACCCAGCACCTCCCACACCGCGGCTGCACATCGCCCTGACCCACTTAGCAGCTTCTCTGCAGTGTGACGGCCTCAGGGGCCGTGTGGGGAGCGGGGAGCTTCCTCCTGTGAGATGCTGGGTGCTGTGGCTGCTCCTGGCAAGGCCACAGCCAGCAGCAGCCATTGGCAGCCTCGGGCAGGGCCAGGTGACATTGCTGCTGCAGTAGGACCATTATGGACCGACGGCCGATTTTCAGAGCTGAGCCCGGCAGCTTAACCTGTCCGGTGGCCTGGCTACTGCTGCCCGGGACTGAGTTGTGCTGGGGTCCTGGCCACCCCACCCAAGAGGAGCTGGGTTCCAACACAGTCCAGGCCTGAATCTCATCCAGGCTCCCCAGGTGATGGGGGCACCTGCAGGGTCACCTCACCGGGTCCCTTTTTGCCAGGTGAGGGAGACAGAACCCTGGGAGGCAGGTGCTTGCCTGAAGGCACGCACCTATTAGGAGCAGAATCCCGTCGTGCGACTGCTAACTCGGTTCTCTCACCGCTGCGTCAGCCTGAGCTGTGGAGTTAACCTGCCAACGTCAGGGTCAGGGCAGGCCGAGGGGGGCTGGCTGCTGACAGGAGGTGCTGCAGCATCCCCGGGAGTTCCACGAGGGGCAGGGAGATGAGTTTTCCGGACCTCCTCCAAGGCGATTCTTGAATCCCAGCGCTGCTATTCAGGGTGGCGTGGCCTTGGTTTCTGCATCCGCACAGTGGAAGAATCATCGTATCCGCTTCATGGGGGTGCCAGGAGGGTTCAATGAATAAGCAGCTGTAAATCGCGTTGTACCTAATAGGGTTTGCAAACGCAGTTGACGAACGTTCTTAGGAGATATGGCAGCGCTCAAGGCGTGCCCAGCAGCACATGTGTGCCGTGTGAGTGTCTGGTGTCCTTACCGTGAGGGCATGCAGGCGGGTGTGTGAGTCTGGCAGCGCTCAGGGGCTGAGGGGAACTGGGACAGGCACGGAGCTGATGTTGAGTTCCCCCTCCCCCACCTCTCCCCTGTGTCGGGACAGATGCCTACGGGGGCTGGAGGAGGGTCTCGGGGCTGGTCCTCCACACCGCCATCTCTCCCCTGGCGCAGGGCCTTTGTGGGTCACCCGAGGCGGTCCCTGCTGGTGTACCGGGCACTGCTGGGAACTCAGTGCAGACGCAGCCCCTGCATCCCCAGAAGAAGGCAGGCCACCTCGAGCAGCGAGCTGGGTGTCTTGTTCCCAGAGCAAATGTGGGTGCAAGAGGAGCACTGTGAATCCCCGCTGCCCGGGGTCGAAAGGGGGACCTGGACCCTGTGGACACCAGGGCAGGTGCTTTCGGCTCCGGCACTCTTGGCTTCGCTGTGGTTTGCAGCTGACCCTGCCGCTTCCATCTCTCAGAGCCAGGCTCCCTGCATGGCCCCTGTCCTTGCCTCCTCCAGGCTTTGGTTTGGTCCCACTGGAAAACTTCCATGCACCCTGCTTCCGCTCCCTTTTCCCTGAAACCAGAGCCAGGACTTCCTATAAATACTGCAGGTTGGACCACTCCCTTGCTTCCCCCGGCCTCGGGCTAAAATCCTACTCCAGCGGCCCATAAGCACAGGCAATTGCAGAAAATTAGTCATCAGGGAAATGCAAATCAAACGTGTGGCGAAACGCCACTGCACGTGCTTCAGGAAGGCTGGCATCAAAGAGACAGCGCGCCAAGAGCTGTGGGGACCGGGGAGCAAAGGGAAACCCCCCACACTGCAGGGGCAAATGGCGAATGGCAAAGGCGTTTGGGAAGTAGCTTCACAGTTGCTCAAAAAGTGAGACAGCATTGCCATCCGGCCCAGAAATTCCACTCCTAGGAATACCACGGCGGCCGGCCATTGCGTCAGCAGGTTAAGTCACTGTTCGAGACCCAGCATCCTACGCCGGCACGCCAGTTCCAGTCCTGGCTGCTCTGCTTCTGATCCAGCTCCCTGCTAATGCGCCTAGAAAGATGGCCCAAGTGCTTGGGCCCTGCCACTCACTGAGGGACCCAGACAGAGTTCCTGGCTCCCGGCTGCAGCCTGGCGCAGGCTTGGCTGTTGCAACTATTGGGGAGTGAACCAGCACATCTCTCCCTCTCTCTTTGTAGCTCTGTCTTTCAAATAAAGTAAATAAATCTTTTTTTTAAAGATAATAGAAAATGGAATTAGTAGACCATTTTATTCTGGTGCAAATTAAAAAAAATGCATAGTTTTTTATAGAACACATTTTCCATGAATTTTTTGAAGTTTTCCAATATGCATGGATTTCAACATTTTTTGCACCAAAACAGATTTTTTAATTTTATTTTCCACAAACTTTTTGAAGTACCATCAGACACCTAAGAGAGCAGAAGGCAGAGGTCCACCCGGCAGCCTGTACATGAATGCCTATGAGTCAGCACAGCCAAAAACCAGACACCACCCGGTGCACAGCAACCGAGGCTGGGTGGGCCCTCTGATTTGCACAGCTGTGGCAGTCGCACGGACGGCAGACTTTGTGAACCGCAGACATTCGCTTCTCAGGTCTGGAGGCTGGGAAGTTCAAGATCAAGGCCGGGGCATGTGGGTGTCTGGTGAGGGCCCAGCCTCCGCGCCCAAGGTGGCGCCCGCTACTTCATCCTCCTTCTCCCTCGGACGCTCATCCTTGAGCCACAGCTCCCGGGACACAGTCCCCTCCGGATTTCGGGGATCCATTTCACCATGAGGGGCGCAAGCACTCCAACCACGGTGTGGTGCAGCCGCGCGGTGCCAATTCTGCTCATCCAGGTAGCTGGGATGGCAGTGTGGGTTTGTGCTACACCACGCGTGAGCCCTGGAGGCACCCCCCCCTAAGAGAAAGAAGCCGGTCACAGTGGACCCCGTACTGCATGGCTGCTTTGCTGTGATGTGTCCACTGCGTGCCGCTCAGCGAGGCTGAAAATAGACCAGCAGTTTCCGGGGGCTGGGAGAGCGCTGGAGAGTGACTGCTCATGGGTGAGGTTTTCTCCTGGGGGGATGAGAATACCCTGGAATTCAACAGTGGCAAGGGCTTTGAGGTCTGTGAACTCCATCTCAATTCCCAAAACTGAGCGGTCCACTTCCTGGGGACAGGTCGAGGATTCCGGCCGGAGGTGGCCCATCTCCCCTGGCCCGGTTCGCTGCCCTCTAAGCGACAGCCACCAGCTCTGTCCCTTTCCTAGGCCTTGGTCTGCATCCACCTTCTCACCCTTTGGAGTTTCTTTGAGGGTGTCCTCAGCGAACCTTGCTCGTGCCTTCTGAGGGCCCGCATGGTGCCGTGTGCAGAGCCGGGTCATCGTAGGAGGTACAGAAAGTTGCCTCTGATTCGGCCAATGTCATTGGAATTTCATCAAGGACACTTCCCAGGGCAAACTCGGCGAAGCCGCAGCAAACCCTCGTTTTCTGAGCTGCTAAACCGCAGCTCCCTCCTCTCTGGGATTTTCACTTCTAATCCTGTTTGATTCTTTTCCATTTCCATTCCATAACCGAGTTTCAACCAGGCCCCTTGGATTGCGGTGTGCAAGTCTGGATCTTATCACAGAGGCGTCATCCTTCACCCACACTTAGCATCTGCCCTGCTAAGTTTTGCCTTGCTCTGTGGTCCTGATAATGCTCTCTGTGGATGGCTGATAGGTTAGGTTGGAATTGGAGGACAGTCCGTGAGGGACGAAACGCCAGCACTCTGAAACAGTGTGCAGAGGAAGGCCCCTGTCCCCTCCTCGTGGAACCCACCCTCCCACTCCCCACTCCAGAGCCCCCACCCGTGCAGGGGTCCCCCTACCCCGGAAGCAGGTGCTCCCTGGGAAATCTCCCGGCAGGAGGTTTTCGGGGGGGGGGTCCCCGGGGGTCAGCACCTGTGGAAGGGGGGGTCCCAGGAGGGGCAGAGGGCAGCTCACCGAGACGAAGCCTTAAGGGAGGCCCCGCTGACCCACAGGGCTCTGGAGCAGGACAACGGGGCCAGGTGGGCTCCACGTTCTGGGTGGGCTGCTCCTGACAAGCGGGGGTGACTCGGGGGGCAGCCCTCCCTACAGCTGGGCGTCGGTCACCCTGTACGGGACACCACCGTCACTCCCTGTTGCTAAGGGTGCTCCACTCCTCCCTACCCTTCTGACGCAAATACTCAGTGTTTCATCTTTACTTTCTCACGCCTCTGGGGGCTCTTCCCAGCTCCACTGAACCACCAGGGGCCTCTGTCACCCCCGCTCTGTGCCCCTAGGTGACGCCCACAGGGGAGGGGGCGCTACTGAGCCTGAGCCCCCGCGTCCCGGGCAGCAGAGGCTTGAGAACCGGGGATTTTTGTCCCCCTAAAACAACCCTCTAGGGCTGTGGAGGAGCTAGTAAAAGCTCCCAGGTGCCGCCCCTGGCAGCTGTGGGATGCTGTCGAAAACGCTGCTGTCCTAGCCGGGCTGAGCAGCTGGTTGGCGTGTGGAGTTCGGCAAAAGCAGCTGCAGGTTATCCCAAATCTGTTGAAAGGGGGTTATCTCATGAAATAAAAATCCAATACAACATAGACTTTTGCAAATGCTCCCTGCTGACGGCTCACAGACTGGGTGCTGTCAGCCCCACGGGAGGCACCAGCAGGGACATCAGAAGGAGGGAGTCCCCAGTGGGGGTGGCCAGGCTGCCCGGACCTGGGTCAGCCCGCGGTGGTGGTGCAGGGGGGCGGTCAGGGACCCCCGTCTTGGTGGACATCTCCGGCTCCGCCTCAGGTGTGACTGTGGGTGACTTGTCTCCTCTTCCTGTCTGTGCCTTCAGCCCCATGGCCACCTGCCCGGTCCTGCAGAGGGAGACCTTGTTCCAGCTGGGAAGCCACACCTACAGGATCCCGGCTCTGCTCTTCCTGCCCCAGCAGAAGACGCTGCTGGCCTTCGTGGAGAGGCGGGGGAGCAAGACGGATGAGCACGCCGAGTTGATCGTGCTGCGCCGGGGAGACTACGATGCAGCCACCCACCGGGTGCAGGTGAGGCAGGACGGCCCGCGCACGTGTGCGTGTGCGTGTGCGTGTGTGTGTACGTGTGTGTGAGGAACCTGAGAGGCAGGGGTTGGGCGATTGGCTGCAACCTGAAGTTCCAGCTCGAAGACCTGGTGGCTATCTTGATGAAGATGCCCGAGATCACTTACACTGTTTGAAGGGCTTTGACCGTTATCAGCACGACCCTGAAAGAGATGGACCTGGGCCCAAGTTCTGTGCGCCACTCAGCAGAGTGGCGGCCTTGGGGACTCACCTGCCCTACCCAGGGCCATCCATCTCCGGCTGGAGCTACCAACGCTGTCCCCGGGGCGAGGGAGCAGCAGGGGAGGTTGGGGCGGTCAGGCTGGGCAGGTGTCCGTTGGGGCTGAGCTGTCAGTGGAGGGGGCGACAGACGGCAGAGCTGCAGGGCAGACGTCATGGGCCTGGGGATTATGGGAGCTGACTGTGAGTCCCCAGTGTCCAGGGCTGCACCCCAAGAGTGTGGTGTGTGGATGATGGGAGGGGACATGGCTCAGGCTGTCGCTGCCCCTTGCTAGGGCTTCACTTCCCAAGGACAGCAAGCTGGATGGGACTGGTGCGTGGACAGGAGTAGAGGAAGTAGGGAACGGCCAGGGCTGGGTCATTGCTATGGCGCGGCCTGGTGCGGGTGCTCTGTAAATGCGGCCGATGGGCAGGGAGGGGGAGGCAGGGAGCCATTCTAGCGGAGAGCAGGCGACCTTGGGGGGCAGCAGTCACCCCAGGAGCTGGACAGGAGTTGGGGGGCGAAGCAGTCCCAGTGACCGCCGAGACGCGGCTGCCGGCTCCTGGCCCCCCTCGGTGCGGGGGAGGCAGCTCCGCTTGCCGTCTGGGGTGGCTCCAAAGCTGTGCTTCTCCTTTCTCTCTCCTTACACACAGTGGCACGCGCAGGAGGTGGTGGCCCAGGCGCAGCTGGAGGGCCACCGGTCCATGAACCCCTGTCCCCTGTATGACGCGAAGACGGGGACTCTCTTCCTCTTCTTCATCGCCATCCCGGGACAGGTCTCTGAGTACCACCAGCTCCACAGCAAGGTCAACAAGACACGGCTGTGCCACGTCACCAGCTCCGACCACGGGAGGACCTGGAGCCAGGCCACAGACCTCACCAGCTCCGTCATTGGCCAGGCCCACAGCGCATGGGCCACCTTTGCCGTGGGCCCCGGGCACTGCCTGCAGCTGCGCAGTGGCAGCCTGGTGGTGCCCGCCTACGCCTACCGGAACCTGCCCGACCTCCCGCACCCTTCCCCCTACGCCTTCTGCTTCCTCAGCCAGGACAACGGGCGCACGTGGAACACGGGGAACTTTGTGGCCCCACAGACCCTGGAGTGCCAGGTGGCAGAAGTCAGGGCTGGGGGGCAGAGGCTGCTGTATCTCAACGCCAGAAGCCCACAGGGCTCCAGGGTCCAGGCCCAGAGCACCAACGGTGGGCTCGATTTTCAGGAGGCCCAGGCCGTGAAGGCGCTCGTGGAACCCCCCCACGGCTGCCACGGGAGCGTGGTCAGCTTCCCCAGCCCCACGGCGGGGCCACAACGCCGGGGGAGGTGGCTGCTCTACACCCACCCCACCGACTCCCAGCAGAGGTCCAACCTGGGCGCGTACCTCAACCAGCAGCCGCCCAACCCCGAGACCTGGTCGCAGCCCACGCTGCTGGCCACGGGCAGCTGCGCCTACTCGGACCTGCAGAGCATGGGGCCCGGGCCCGACGGCTCGCCTCTGTTTGGGTGTCTGTACGAGGCCAAGAATTACGAGGAGGTGGTCTTCCTACTGTTCACGCTGAAGCAGGCCTTCCCGACCGCGGTCGCGGCTACGGCTGAGTCCGAGTGAGCCCACGGTGAGTGCACGCAGGTTGGTCCCCTCGCTGCCCCTTCCTTCAGCGGCTACGGAGGCTTGCTTCCCGGCCCTGCCCCCTCCCCAGCACTGCTGCTGTCAGCCGAGAAGCCCCAGGAGGCCGGCTCCCCGTGGGCCCCCCCTGAAAGGTGGGGAGCTCTTCTCCCGGGCTGCCCTCTGCCCCGCTCCGCCTGCCTGGTCCCCCACGCCCCAGCCCCCGAGCCAGTCCAGCCTCCTCCGGAGATGCTCACAGGTTCCTGGGGAATGGCTTCACCCAAGATGGGAACACCCCAAGAGGCGTGTGTGTGTGCGCCTGCGTGTCTATGTGCGTGCATGTGTCTGTGTGTCTACGTATCTTTGTGTGTGTGTCTTCACGTTTGTGTCCCTTGTCCGTGGGTTTGTACATGCATGTACCTCTATGTGTCTGTGTGCTCATGGGTGTGGGTCTTTGTGTGTCCTCATGTCTGTGTGTCTACGCTGATGTTGCAGAGCAGACACACCGGGGAACGGCTTTGCAGAGAGAGAGAGAGAGAAGCCGGGCCTGGGACAACGAAGCCAGCTCAAGTCACTGCCTCTACCAGGACCCGTGCGGCAAACACCACACCCTTGCGGTTGCGGCCTAAAGCTACAGAACAGCATTCCTGCCCAGCGCTGGAGGCTGCAATCTGAAGTCAAGCTGTGGGGGCTGCTCCCTCCAAAGGCTGCGGGGAGATCCTTCCTCACGATCCGGCTCCCGGGGTCTCCCGCTGCGTCACTCTGGTCCCTGCCTGCGTCTTCCCACAGCCCTGCCCCCTTGGTTCTCCCTTCTGCCTCCCATAGGACCCGTGTCACTGCACCTGGGGCCCTCGCCAATAATCCAGGCTGATTCCACCCCTCAAGATCTGCAAGGCCCTTCCTTTCTCCAAATATGGCCATGTTCACAGACGCTGGGGCTCAGCACCAGCACTTAGCTGTGGGGGCCACCGTGCAGCCCACTGTAGCCATCGCAAGTTCTTTTGTAGCCATGAGGTAGCCAAGGTGGGAGAGAAGCCCAGTGGACCTGAGAGTTCAGAACAGCAGAGGTGGGAGGGTCGAGGTTGTCCTGTGTCTGTGTGCAGACCTGCACTGGGACACGGGGTCTTTGGTGACCTGAGAGCCACACAGAGCTGGAGTGGGGAGGGGTACTGTGCTGGCCTTCCTGTAAGAAAGAACAGGGACAGGGCTGGCGCTGTGGCATAGGGAATAAAACCGCCACCTGCAGCGCCAGCATCCCACATGGGCACGAGTTCGTGTCCCGGCTGCTCCAATTCCGATCCAGCTCCCTGCTAATGCGCCTGGGAAAGCAGCGGAGGGTAGCCCAAGTACTTGGGCCCCAGGACCCACATGGGAGACCTGGAAGAAGCTCCTGGCTCCTGGCTTCAGATCAGCTCAGCTCTGGCTGTTGTGGCTATTTGGGGATTGAACCAGTGGATGGAAGATTCTTTCTCTCTCTGTCTCTCTGCCTCTGCTTCTCTGTAACTCTGCCTTGCAAATAAATAAATAAATAAATAAATAAATAAATAGATAAATAAATAAATAACTTTTAAAAAAAAGAAGGCTGTTCTTTGCTCGGGGGGTGGGCTGGCATCTCGAGAGGGAGCCTAGCATGGGTGGGGGGGGTGGGCACCTCTCTCACCCCTGGGGCTGTTCGGGGACCTCGGTCACATGTCCCTTGGTCACGTGTCCCTCTGTCAGTCAACACAACCCTCTGGAAGGCCCCCAGTCAGAGACATCAAGGACCAGTCATGGCTCTTGCAGCCATCTCCGCATGGACGGGTGTTTAAGTAGAATTTTAAAGTGTGAGGAGCTGGAGGCGTTGCTGGGTTCCTGGAGGGGTCCCTGGCCCTGGCCTGGTTTCAGGGCACTGCTTTTCCATGTGGAGTCCTGGGAAGGCCCCTCTGCTTGGGGGATGCCCACCTGGTGTCTTCCAGAATGATTCAAGGGGAGCTGGCAGAGGGAGGGAGAAGAGGCTGAGTCCAGGAGGGTGAGGACGCGGCCTGTCTGCAGGGACACCCCCCCGCCAGGGGCTCCGGGGTGGGCGGCCCTAGTGCACTGTCCATGCTGGGGTGCCCTTCAGAGTGACGGGAGGTGCTGGGCATAATTCCATCAGGACAGCAGGCACTAGCCAGAACTGTCCCAGACAGACAGAGCGAGGACTGTTCTGGGGGGCTGGCAGCCACTGGCTCCCCAGGCAGAGCCAGCCATCTGCGGCGGGTGCAGGGAGTGGGGAGCAGCATGGGGCACCCGGGCACTGCCAGCTGAGCAGAGTGTGGCTCACCGTCTGCGTTCACAGCTCCGAGTGTGTCTTGGAATTCTCTGGGGGAGTTTTTAAATAATTCTAGTGTCTGGGCTCCAGCCTTCATCAATGGATTCGGAATATGGGGGTGAGGCCCAGCCAGGGATACTTGCCCCCAAAAACTCTTCTCAATTCTTCTAATGAACAGAAGGAAGCTGCTACCTGGGTACCAGCATCCCATATGGGTGCTGGTTAGAGTCCTGGGTGCTCCACTTCCGATCCAGCTCCCTGCTAATGGCCTGGGAAAGCAGTGGAAGATGGCCCAAGTGCTTGGGCCCCTGACAGCTGTGTGGGAGACCCAGAAAAATCTCCTTGCTCCTGGCTTCGTATTGGCTCAGCTCTGGCCATTGCAGCCATTGGAGAGTGAACCAGTGGATGGAAGACCTCTGTCCCTCTCTCTGTAACTGTGCAACTCTGCCTCTCAAATAAATAAATCTTTAAAAAAGAAAGCACTGGCACAGAAGATCTATAAAGTTCTTCCTAATCTTAATGATATGCAGAGGCCAAGGTCTTCTGATTTGAATGTTGAAAAAAAATTTTGATTTGATTAAAGCTGAAGTGATCTTATCAAAGGATACCATTGAGGGAGTGAAGAGAGAAGTCATGGGTTGAGTGTTTGTAATATGTACATCTGCCAAAGGACTTGTATTCAGCATATGTAAAGAGCTCCTACAAATTAATAAGAAAAGGAAAACCGAAAGAAAATGGGCAAGACCTTGAACAGGAATTTCACACTGGAGGATCTGACAAAGGCTGCGAAACGCACATGAAAATTACTCAGCACCATTAGTCATCAGGGAAAAGCAAATGAAACTCACAAGACGCTGAGTCACTCCAGTGACTAAGGTGAGAAACATGGATCATGGCAAATATCCACAAGGATGTGAAGCCACTGGACCCCCTCTCATCTGGAGGGAGAGCGAGTGCTACAAGTGCTCGGGAGAGCAGACATCTAAATCCCTCATGACCCAGAAACGCATTCCAAGCGTGGACTCGAGAGAGCTGAACGCGGAGATCTGACAAGAGCAGCCTCGTTCAGGACGGTCCTGCCTGGAAACAGCCCAAGAGTGGATCAGAGACGCAACACACAGCTGAACTAGGGGACGTTCGCGCCGCGGGCTGCTACAAGAACGGAGCACGGCGGCCCACCGCAGCCAGATGATTTGGGGGCATTATACTGAGTGAGAGAAGCCAAAACGGTCTATGCTTCACAGGAGTATCTGTTTCAGGTTCAAGGATAGGCAAAGCTTGTCCAGGGTGTATCCGTCGGGGTAGTGGCCACTTCAGCTGCTGGCTGGGAGAGGGTGAGAGGGAGACTCCTGGGTGCTGGAAGTGTGCCGGTGATTGGCCTGGGCTCCATGTGGGTCGTGCGGGTGATTCCACGTGTGAGAGATCAGTGAGCCGCACACCCAAGATTGCTGTGCCTGGCCGTGCGTGCACTGTGTCTCAGTAAAATCGGAAGTTGGACTGAACGGTGCGTTTGCTAGTGTTGTGCCCGAGTGAGTGCACTGATACATTTTAGAGTCTTTTATTGTCGGCCGCAGAGCGGGCTCATGCCCCAAAGGACTCTCGACCCTGAAGCCCAAAGCAACAGGGTTTATAAAGGCAAAAACCGCAAAAGCACGAGGGGAATACATGGTTGCTAAGATCATGGGGAAATATACATAGTTACTGGGGTCAAGCTGACCTAAAACCTATGCAAAATTAATATCAATTATAATCTTGACGTTAATCCAAATATTGGTTTTAATCATACGTAGGATGTAGACAAATTACATTTTTATCATTAACCCAGGTGCAGCCTATTCACTTCCAAGCTTGAGCGATCATGCTAGGGGGTTTCTATGCTCTGCCAAGTGTGATGTAGGGGACTGCTATTGCCCGACTGTGTTAGATCATAGTTTCAGACCAGAGTCTCACGGTGTGTGGTGGTGAGGGGGTGCCTTCCCAGAATGGAGTCTCAGGTTCTCCAAAATGGAGTCCCTACTGTCAAGGTGTCACTTCACTAGTTTCACTCTCAAAACATATATTGGGGGGTTGGTGCTGTGGCACAGTAGGTTAACGCCCTGGCCTGAAACGCCGGCATCCCATATGGGCGCCGGTTCGAGACCTGGCTGCTCCACTTTCAATCCAGCTCTCTGCAATGCCCTGGGAAAGCAGTGGAAGATGGCCCAAGTCCTTGGGCCCCTGCACTCACATGGGAGACCCGGAAGAAGCTCCTGGCTCCTGGCTTCGGATTGGCGCAGCTCCAGCTGTTGCGGCCACCTGGGGAGTGAACCAGTGGATGGAAGACCTCTCTCTCTCTCTCTCTCTCTCTCTCTCTCTGCCTCTCCTCTCTCTGTGTAACTCTGACTTTCAAATAAATGAATAATCTTTTAAAAAAACCAATATATTGGATTTTTGAACTTTAGAATGAGTTTTTTAAAGAAGATTTTTCTTTTGGAATGAATTTTACAGCTACAGAAAAGTTGCAACGATAGAACAGAGCACTCCCCGAGGCCCCATACCCAGCGTCCCTGAAGGTTAGCGTCTTCTGAAACAGCGGGCGACCAGCACTGGCACGTGACTGTTGGCTGAGCTCTGGGGTCCGGACGATTCTGCAGTTTTCCCACTAACATCCTTCATCTGCTGTGGGATCCAACCCAAGATGTAGTCAGAGAAACGGAATTTTTACTGGAATGAGTTTGTATCCTTTGAGACAGACACATATGCAGATCCATGCACATATACAACAGGCCTCTCCCCCCAAAAAAATCACTTTCTTTTTCTCTTTTTTTAAGATTTTTATTTATTTGACAGGTAGAGTTACAGACAGTGAGAGGGAGAGTCAGAGAGAAAGGTCTTCCATCCCCAAATGGTGGTGATGGCTGGTGCTAGACTGATTCGAAGCCCGGAGCTTCTTCCGGGTCTCCCATGTGGGTGCAGAGGCCCAAGGATTTGGGCCATCTTCTACTGCTTTCCCAGGCCACAACAGAGAGCTGGATCGGAAGAGGGGCAGCCGCGACTAGAACTGGTGCCCATATGCAATGCTGGTGCCGCAGGTGGAGGATTAACCTCCTGTGCCACAGCACTGGCCACTCCCAAAAAATCAGCCCAGATGGATGGTGTGCAAAGGTCAGAGTTCACCCCTGAGGCTCAGAAGGTGGCCCTTGCATCAGTTATACCAGCTCGTGCCATGGTCAGGGGCACATGGGCCAGATTTGAGTCCAAGGCCACTGCCTGGGACATGCAGGGTTGGTGTGTGTGTGTGTGTGTGTGCACATGCATGACCATTGCCATGTCCAGTGGAGGCTGGTGGGCCAGCCCTGATCAGCATCCTGCCTGCATCCAGGCAGGGGTGCGGGAAGCCTGGGGTGTGGTTCTTGCAGATGCTGCATGCAGGGCTGCCACCACCCACCTCACCTCTGCAGCCTGTCCGTGCAGACGCTGCCCTTAACTTCAGCCTCTGATGGGACCTCCGGGCTGTGGACCTTCGTCAGCTCTGAGCATGCGCAAGGCACAACGGGTCTGCAGGCTCCAGGGAGCGCAGTCCTGCTCGGCCTCTCCCTGAGGAAACACCAGGGGCCTTGGGACCTCTGATTCCAGAAGGTCTGCACACGCGCCCTCTTCTGTGTTCTCATGTGGGTCGTAAACCACGTCAGCGAGAAGGCAGGGGCTGGGGCTTCAGGACTGGGCCGTAGCCAGTATTTCCAGGGCTCACGGGTTTGGAAGTCTTCCGGATGGAATCCATTTCAGAGCATTTTTACCCGGAAGTGGGAGTTGCATTTTACATTCTTAAATATCACCTTCAAGGGATTTTGAATCTTCCTCTTTGCCTCCAGAACGCCTCTTGGAGGATTTGATTGACAGACGTAATACATACACACAAGCTTGATGCACGAAGATGTTCATTGCAGTGTTATTTATAACAGAAAAAGAAGTCACGGAACTGCACACTCTGACATGGAAGGACTGGTTAGGCAGTGCCCGGGGCATCTCTGTGACATCCTAACGTTTGCAAGAGAAGAATCTGTAGGAAACACCCGGGACCTAACGTCACTTAGGAAACGGAGCAGCAACCCTGCGTGGATTTTGCAGCTTGACGAGTTCTGGAGAAACAGGGGTGTTCACAGAGAGAAAGCCAGAAGGAGCGGGGCTCTGGAACACTTTCCCTGGTTCTTTATCCTTGCAAACCGTTGGCACCCATTCCAGAAACGGTGCAAAAATGGAATTTGACAAAGTAGCACAGTC